TGAAGACTCATCTTTCTCCACTCAGCAACATGGACTCTGCAAACTCCACTTTGCTCTTCTCATTTAATTTTCTCTGTTTAGATTATGTCTTTCACTTCAGGAACTTCACTTAGTGCCCATACTCAGATGACTCACCAATTTGTATCTTCAGTTTAAACCCCTCCCCTAGATCAGGAATCATATACCCATCTGTTTACGTGCTATCTGTTGTATCTATTTCACCACAAACTCAACATGTGCAAAATCAAATTTAAAATAATTCCTGCACAACATGCTCATCTTCCAGTGTCCCCTGACACAGTAATTTTCTTGTTTTTTCTGTTCCACAAGCTGGAAACCAGAACATCATCCTTGATACAGCTTTTTATTCTTTGTTGCAAGTAGTCAATTCACCACCAAGTTCTATAGAGTGAATCTTCTAATTGTGTCTCCAATAGCAGCATGCTTCTCTATCTACCTCACTGCCACTCAAAGTCACCAGCATCTCTCACATAGGTTTCTGCCATTGTCTTCCAACTGATCTACACTATTCTTTCTGCGCAATTCATTCTCTACACTTCCACCACAAAGATATTTTTTTTAAATGCTAAACAAATTAATCAAACAAAACGACCATATTTCAATCAGTTTCCACAGCTCTTAGGATAAAGACCAAAACTCCTTATCACGTTGTACATAGATTTCACTGATCAATCTCTCCAGCATTACCTTCAATTGCCTCTCCCTCAATCATTCTGCTTCGGCTATGTTGTTGTGTGCCGTCAAGTTAACTCTGACTCATAGTGACCTTATAAGACAGAGTACAACTGCACCACAGGATTTCTTCCACGAAGTGGCTGGTGGGTTCGAACAGCCAACCTTTTGGTTAGCAGCCAAGCACTTATCCACTGCACCACCAGGGCTCCTTGGCAGCTATAATACCTTTTAAAATCCTCTATAGTTGATATCATTCCCCACCACAGGGCCTTTGCATGCCCTGTTCTGTGTCTGTAACGCTCTGTGTTCCCCCCACTTCTAACTGATTAACTCCTGCTGAAGCATCAGTTTCTCAGGAAGCCTTTCCTGATCTTCCTATTGCACGCTATCATAACGTTATCTATACTTTCTCACTACTATTGCACTTCTCACTGTTCCAATTTGACGTTTGTTTGCTCATTTGGTTAATGTCTGTTTCTTCCCACTGGGCTTCATGATTCCTGAGGATAGGGCCATGTTCATACTATGCATCACTGTATCCCTGGTGTCTAGCACTGTAAGCACACACACAAAAATATGAGTTGAATAAAGAAAAAATGCAAGAGTTTCACAAGAACCAGCACTCAGATTCAAGAGCAAACGATGCCTCTAGACAGGGTTACTATTATACTGCTAATTCTATCACCACTCCTCCTCTTCCTCCTCCCACTACTACTTTTACTACTTTTGATAACAACACTAACAGCTCCCTAAGGCTTTAGTTAAGGAGTCCCTGGGTGACATAAACAGTCAAGTGCACAGCTACTAACTGAAAAGTTCGTGGTTCCAATCTACCCAGATGTACCAGAAAGGCCTAGAGGTCTGCTTCCATAAAGATTAAAGCCATGAAAATCCTATGGAGCACAGTGCTACTTTGCAACACATGGGAACACCATGGGTTGGAATCAACTCAATGGCAACTAGTTTAAGGTTGTTGTTGTAATCTGGGAAATTAAAATCATGTTGTACTGTTATAACTAATACTATTAACTTCAAATTTTAAAATGCATGGTGAGATCCAGTAACATTCAAATTATAAAAATTTAAAAGATTACAATAACCCTAGGCTTAACTCAGAGTACTGTCTTCTGGGAATAATTTGAAAACCCCTAACCTAGGGGAAAACCTTGCCAAGGGAAAATGAAAAAGAAGCAAATACCAAACTGTTTATCATATTTTCCCCTCATTCACAGCCTGGGAGCACTAAGACTCACACAGGGAAAAAATATTGTGAAAACAGAACAGAATCCCTTCTCAGCTATGCTCTCTGGGAACAGGGGGACAGAATTTAGACAAACTGTTTTGTGCAGACCAGGAAGAGAATGACTCAGATGACAACAGAGAGTAAACAGAGAGAGCTGATTAACCCAACTGTTTCTGATTGCTCGATATTTTCATATTTAGATTCTTACTACTTCAGTTTGCATTTGTTTGTGTACTTTACAAGTGTTTGCACTTCATGTGTGCTTCGCTTACCTGTTTGTAAACTTGAAGATAGCACAAAGATATTAGAGGGAGATAGCATAAGTGAAAGGAGAAGAAGCTAGAGAAGATGAAAAGAACAAAAGGGAAAAGGAAGATGTGCCATTAAGTGGGGACTTGCTAGGGATCTCAGAAGGCAAGTTCTTCCTCTAGGTAAGTGTCTACTCCTTTGCACTCAACAACGTTTACTTTTTTGGTCACTCTTGTAGCAAGGAATTTTTTCCCCCTTCTGTTTTCTCTTTTCTATTTTGCTTTCACTGTACTCAAGTACACAACACCAGAACAGTTTCTCTAAGGCTGAAGCCATTGCTTTTGATCTAATCCAGCTGACCAGTAGCAAAGTTAGAATCATGAGACTTGGAGTTTTCCAGCCACAAAGGATGTAGTTATGGCTTCTGCCTCTCTAGTGATTTGTAGCTGGTAAAACTACAAGCTTAGCCTACTTGGGTTGCCCTTTATCGTAAGAAATACATTTTCCTTAGAAGCGATGCCACTCTTTTTTTTTGAGTAACATAAATACCTCTTCTCCATTGCTGTCTTCATTTTGAGCCATCATATATCCTATTTCCCATAGGGTACATCAACTCAATGCCAATTCTCAATGGAATAAACATTAGGTCCTCAGATACACAATAATATAGTTTACTGGTCTGAACAGAAGGTACAAAAACTATGTCTAAAGCCAAGGTTAATGTGCATTTGTGCTAATGCAGATGGCAAATGTCCTTTTGAGTTCTGAACTAGGACAATAGAAGTGAGGGAGGAGGGCTCATTTTTATTAAGAATTGAGAAATAAAGTTGACTCATTCTTATCATTACTGCTCTTAATGCAAGCTAACATTTACCAGACTCTTACCCTCTGGCAGAAACCATGCTAAGTCCTTTACACCGATTACCTCATTTAATCATCAAAATAAAGGTACCTATGAAGGAGATGGAGTCCCTGAGTGGTGCAAATGATTAATGCACTCGATTGCTAACTGAAAGGTTGGAGGTTTGAATCCACTCAGAGGCACTTCAAAAGAAAGGTTCGACAATCTACTTCTAAAAAATCAGCCATCGAAAATCCTATGGAACACAGTTCTACTCTGACACATACGGGATCACCATGAGTCAGAGTAAACTTGACAGTAACTGGAATGAAGGAGGTACTGTAATTATTCATATGTTTTATATAAGGAAACAAAGGCTTAGACACTTGAAATCACTTGCTAAAGGTCATATATATACATAGTAAGTGGCAGAGCCAAACATTTAGATCCAGGTTACCTGATGCCAAAGTATGTGTAACTAAACATTGTTGTACACATGCCTCCTTATTTCTCTTCACTTCATCCCAGCCCCACCCCACACCCAACTGAACTCAAGTACTTTTTCAGCTGGGAAACAGCAATGAAAACAGAGCACTGTTAGGTAGTGGAGGGGATCTTGGTCTATAATATCATGGTCTTGGGGCAGGTAAGAGATAAGCCACAGAGAATAAGTAATAAAACCATACCTGTTGCTTGTCCTGGGCAGCTCCTTTAGCATGGTCTTCATGAGTTAATTTTTGTTGTTGTTTCTTACATTATATCAGACCACTTTGCCTGTGAGTTAAAAACACTCCATTTCCAATACATTTTCCATTTGTTGACTTTTGTTTTCATTAGAAATGGAAATAATTTACTTTAGGACAAGTAATTTAGGGTAGACATTATGATCATCATTTTACAGATGGTTTCAGCAAGTTTGTGTGACAGGTGACATGACTAGAAAGGAACTAGAGTTTAAAGCTAGGATTCCTGCCTCCAAATGCAGGCATCTGAAGCATGTGTAGTGTAAATGCTACATGTCTAACAGTCTCCTTGCCATCTTTATCTGTCCTATATTCAATATATCCAAAACCACATTCATAAATTCTCCCACAAACCTGGTCCCCTTCCTTTGCCTTCCATCTCAGTGAATAGCACCACCATCCAGGTGAACAGACCAAACACTCCAACGTCATCTTCCACTTTTCCTTCTCTTTCACCCATGTGCCCTCCTCCTTTGTCCAATCTATTACCAAGTCATATCTATTATATGCCCAAAGCATAAAATACGTTATTTTTATTTCTTATTTATTCAAAGCACCACTCTCACTCTCTGTGCTACTGAGGTAGTCTTCTAACTTGTCTTCACACTTTCCTTCTTGTACACCTTCACTCCATTCTCAAACTGCCGCCAGCATGATCTTTTTATAATGTGAGCACAATCATGCTAACAATTTCATGCCATCATTTTGTTGTAGATATTTCAGTGTCATCCTATGGCTCTTAGGATAAAAATCAAAGCTTTGAACATGGCTGACAAGGTCCACCATGATCTCATCCCTACCACATCTCCAGCTCCATCCCTTAATCTCTGCAACGCAGTCCCACTGGCATTTCCTCATTTCCAGAAACACTACTGAGCCCTTCACACATGCTGCTCCCTCTCTCTGGTTCACTCACAGATCCCCACCTTCATAAATCACATTAACATCTACTCAATCCTCATACCCCAGCTCAAGTGTTGCATCCTTGAGGATAATTTTTGTAACGTCTGTTATATGTTCTTTCATGGCACTGTTATTACTAGTAGCACTTACCACTAGTGCAATTTTACTTTTATTTGTGGAATTATTTGACTAAGTTCTCTCTTCCTCAACAGAGATTCTGCTCAACCTTTGTATACCATGCCTAGCACATGTTGATTCATATTTGTTAAATGAGAGAGAGCTGAATGAAAGCATGTGCTTCCTTCCGTCTACCAGTTATGCTTACCATTTGTCTGAATGAGAAGGTTGTAGATTTTAGTGCCCTCCAGATACAGAGTAAAGCTACACTCATACATTCCACTGAGTCAGGAAGTCACATTTCTTAAGTGCAAAGTCATTTTAACACATTACCATGAGTTTCTTTGAATGTCACCAGTGACCCACATGGACTCTCATTGGCACAGTCAAAGAGGTGATAAAGGACAATCAGGTCCACCTTATTGGTGACCTTGGACCATTGCATCTGCACCAAGAAGGGTTTTTTTTTTTTTTTTCTATTTGGTACGTCAGGTTGACATTTGAGCCAGGTGGAACATAAATGTCTTCTCCTGCATTGACTCTTTCTTCCCACACTACTGGAAAGGAAGGACATCAGTCATCAGTTTGCAAGATTCCCATAGAAAACCAAACCAAACCTGTTGCCACCTCCTCAATTCCGACTCATAGTGACCCTATATGAGAGTAGAACTGCCCCAGAGGGTTTCCAACGAGAGGCTGGTGTATTCGAACTGCTGACCTTTTGGTTAGCAGCCAGGCTCTTAACAACTGCACCACCAGGGCTCCGATTCCCATAGAGTGACTCTTAATTAACAACTCTGATCACTTTGATGAGGTAGGGACACAACAGAGGAGGTTTCTCCCTGGCTGCCCTAGTGGTAGAAGACAGCTTGTACTTGATCCACATACAGAAGCATGAGACTCAATACAAACAAGGAGGAATTTACTTAGGGGAACTAGATCTGTCCAAAGAACAATTTAAGGTAACTGATCACCTCTCAAAAAAATTAAGCCTATTTAAAAATTAAAGCTGCAGTGCTTTAATTTTTGTGTGGCCTTTCTAGCCATGGTCTTGTAACCCCCACTCAAGTGATTGGGTAGGACTGTGTAATAGGGTAATCGTGGCTACCAAAGAGATTGGTCAGCTTTGCCATTCCACTGGGCTTGAAATGAGCCACCCCAGAGTTGGGAAAGAGAGGATACCACCACCAAGGAAGACTAGCCAAGAGCAGAGAGCAGGTCCTTCGGACCCAGGATGCTTGCGCTGAGAAGCTCCTGGACCCAGAAGACAGAGACAGCTAGCTGTAACCCTGAAGTTGGTGAGAAGCAGTGGCAGAAAAGTGGTGGCAGAGAAGCAGTGGCAGGAGAGACTGGCAAGAAAGATCACACAGTGAGCTTCCTAGCCCATGGATAGAGAAATCTGAGGGCCTTTAGGCAGAGGCAGGGGGCCAGGGAGAGGTGTGCCCTCGGGTATGGCTGGTAAGAGGCTGTTCTGATGGACGAACTATATCCTGAGTGTTCCTGAGCCTGAATTGTAAGTGTTACTTCCCTAATAAAAACCGTAATCGTCAGTATTATCTCTGAGTTCTGTGTGGCTATTACAGTGATGTCAGAATTGGTAAATATGGTGGAGAGAGGAGGCATGTCTGACCTCCGCCTCATAGGAATCAGCCTTGGGCTGTTGATCTTCATCCCCTTTCCCCCTTGTGAAGTTAGAGGAAGTCAGACACTGCCCTCATGCTGTTTTTACAAGCCCACTAGCAAACTTATTATGACAACTGTTCTTACATTTGGGGAGCAGGCAGTGGTAGTTCAGTGGTAGAATTGTCACCTTCCATGCAGGAGACCTCAGCCAATGAACCTCATACACAGTTGCCACCTGTCTGTCAGAGGAGGCTTGCAGGTTGCAATGATGCTGAACAGGTTTTTATGGAGTTTCCAGACTAAGACAGACTAGGAGGAAAGGCCTGGTAATCTACTTCCAAAAATCAGCCAGTGAAAACTCTATGGATCACAATGGTCTTATTGACAACTGATTGTGGGGATGGCACAGGACTGGGCAATATTTTGTTCCATGGTGCATGAGGTCACCAATGAGATGGAGGCCAATGCAATGGCAGCTAAAAACAACATTCTTATATTTAATATAATTGGATTTTCTTTTGGTTATAAATCAACAGCTGCATACAACACACACTGGTGATTTTTGAAATTGCAAAAATAATTAATGTGTGTAAGCAGTTTCTTGCATGTGTTTACAAAAGGCTTTTACATATATTATTTCATTTAATCCTCCTCACACGCCATAAGGGTGATGCTGTTAATGCTCTTTACCAACCAGGGAACGTAGGCACACAGAAATTAAATGATTTTCTCAAAGTCACACCTCCAGTAAAGGAATATGAATTCATTTACCCAGAGCCTGTGCTTTTTCCATAACCTCCAACCTGCCACCCAAATTCAGTTTGGTTGAGTTAGAATAAGAAATTTGACGTTTAGTATATAAAAAATTAAAGGGCCTCTATCTCCTTATAGTTAGGTCTCCTGAGGGGAAGACAATATCTCAGGTAGAGGCTCCATGAATGATAAACTATTTGGTCATTATAAGAAATGTTTTGAAATTCTAAACATAAAAGAAGATTCCCTCTTATCAGCTCTCTGAACAAACGGTACAGGGCACTTAAATTACATTAAACACTGGGTCTTTGACATGCTTTCCACAGTCTAGACCTGAGTTTTAGAATTAACATGAAATACTGTTACAACAATGATATATGACAAATACCACCAAAGTTCACAAAGAGAAAAGATTAAAAAATGACAAGCAACTAAGAAGAAACAAGGCTCACAAAAGTAGTTGACAAATGGGAATTATTGCACTTTCATGGATGCCAAAGTTTGGGTTACACAGAAGTTAGTACAGTTTAATTTAGCTCCCTATGAGTTATCCTTTGCCTAATAATATGCCTCTGATACTGTCTACACTATTATACCCCCAAATCTCCTTTGGTTTAGATAGTCTCCTTAAAAATCTTCATCCTTATATCTGAAAAGCACAGTTAATTGGAAAGGCGCTTTGGCTCACTGTAATACCCACATGCTATGGAATGCAGAATTAATCTTCTACCTTCTATTTTTAAAAATAGGCCCTTCAGGCACTGGTTCCCACTGTCATAAGGATCCACTTGGTCTCTCAAGTCCATAACTACACACATCTCATTAAAATTCAACAAATTTTCAACTTCCAAAGACTTCAGTATTTGGAGGAGAAATGTTTGTTATATCAAAAAAATGATACTTGAGAGAAAAAAAAAAGTTGAGCATGAATCTGTGAGCACTGATGCTTTTTTGATTTTTTTTTTATTTTAGTATTCTGGAGTTGTTCTGACTACCATTTGGAGAACATTTAATTTCCAAGAAGCACTATTTCCCAGTTACTCCAGAGATCTTAGAAAGGCAATGGGTGAAAATGCCTTGGGGAAGTGGTCCAAACCACCCATCCCCTTTTTGTTTTTAGTGTTCATTAGTAATCGTGTAGAGTCTAACATATCTCTGTTAGCTGCCACTTAAATACATAACTGAAAACTTTAGTAACGATCTGACTTTTGGTGATCAATTTCAGCAGCAGTCATGAGGCACTTTAAATGAACAGAGGTCCCACTTACCCTTATAATCTGACAAGAAAGGACAACTGGAAGACTTTTCCCTGACAAAATGTATCTGGATAATGGAATAGTGATTTAGGAAATAATATTGGAGTTATTATACCCTCTTCTTGAGCATAGAGAAAGTGACCCAGCTGGAGCTGGGCTCACAAGGACTCACAAGGACGTATTAATTGGGCACCGAGGTATAAAGACAATAGAATAGCTAAGATAATCTTGGAAAATAACTTTAGGGAAACTTTCACATAAAGCCAATCAAACAGAACACAAAAGACTTTCCACTCTTATCTTTTTCTATTAGCATTTAGTGAATAGAAATGTGTTGGACAAATGAAGACCTTCCTGACGCTCTTTACTGAAACCTGTACCAATGATTTTTTTTTTTACACATATTGTTTTATGACATTGGTTAAGAACCCCACAACATGTCAACACTCTCCCTTTTCGACCTTGAGGAACTTTTTTTTGGTGAAAATATAAATAGCCCAAGTTATACCATTCCGAAACCTTCTACATGTACAATTCAGTGACATCGATTACATTCTTCCAGCTGTGCTGTTATTCTCACTATCCTTTTCCAAATTATTCCATCACCATTATCTTCAACTCACTGTCCCCTAGGCTTCCCATCAAACCTTTTGAGTTGCTGTTGTCAATTTGATCTCACATAGATAATTCTTTTTTTTTTGTACCTTAGATGAAGGTTTGAAGAACAAATAGTTTCTCATTAAACAGTACACATATTGCCCTATGACAATGGTTAACAACCCCATGACATGTCAACACTGTCCCTTCTCAACCTTGCGTTCCCTATCACCAGCTTTCCTGTCTGTCTCCTCCTGCCTTCTAGTCCTTGTCCCTGGACTGCTGTGCCTCATTAGTCCTGTTCTGTTTTATGAGGCTGTCCAATCCCCAGCTGAATGGTGAACTTTGGGAGGGGCTTTATCACTGAGCTAAAAGAGTGTCTAGGGGCAATACTCTCGGGGTTTCTCCAGTCTCCTTTAGGCCAGTGAATCTGGCCTTTTTTTTGTAAGTTAGAATTCTGTTCTGCATCCTTTTCCAGCTTTATCCAGGACCCTCTATTGTGATCCCGGTCAGAGCAGTGAGGGGTGGTAGCCGGCATCTACCATCTAGCTGTACCGGACTCAGTCTGGTCGAGGCCGTGGTAGCTATGGTCCACAAGTCCGTTGGACTAATCTTTTGCTTGCATCTTGTTTTCTTCGTTCTCCCTTGCTCCCAAAGGGGTGAGACCAGTGGAGTATAGTAGATGGCTGCTCACAGGCTTTTAAGACCCCAGATGCTACTCACCAAGGTAGAATGTAGAACATTGTCTTTAAAAACTGCGTTATGCCAACTGAGCTAGACGTTCGCGGAGACCATGGTCCCCACAGCCCTCAGCCCAGCGATTCAGTCCCATGGGGAGTTTGGAAGTGTCTATGGAGCTTCCATGACCTTTCCTTGTGCAAGTTGCGCTGGCTTCCCCAGTAATGTGTACTGTCTTACCCTTCACCAAAGTTACCACTGATCTATTTAGTTCCCCCCTCATCCCTCCCGTTCCTCATAACCAACAAAGATTGTTTCTTTTTGTGTGCAAATGTTTATGTGAGTTATACAGTAGAGATCTCATACAATATTTGTCCTTTTGTGACTGACTTATTTCATTCAGCATAATGTCCTGCAGTTTCATCCATGTTATGAGATGCTTCACAGATTCTTCATTGTTCTTTATCTTTGTATAATACTCCATTGTGTGTATGTGTCATAGTTTGTTTATCCATTCGTCTGTTGATGGGCATCTAGGTTGTTTCCATCTTTTTGCTATTGTGAACAGTACTTCAATGAATATGGATGCGCATATTTCTATTAGTGTGACGGCTTTTATTTCTCTAGGATATATTCCTAGGAGTGGG